TTTAGGCAAAGATTATAGAATCCTCTTGCTTGATAATTAAAAGAGAGGAAAAAACGAATCAAAGATGAAGCTAGGAAGACAATATTGGAGCTTGTCATGAAAGGGTGAAGACCCTTTTATTATAGACTTTAAGTAGTCTGATGAGCGATTTACTTCTGCTTAAAGTAATGTGGCAGGTTTGCACTTGGACACTATTAGGGTAGCTGGGTGATGCTAGACTTAGTTGTTAAACATCGATATAATTGTAGTAATTACTAGAATATTAATAAAGTACTAGCGTGACTGCTTAAGGTTAAAAAAAAAAAAATAATAATAAAAAAAATCATTAATAACAGTTGCCATAATACAAATATTACATAGGTGATTATCTAAATTTTCACTATCAATAGGATTTGAACATCCAACCTACCACTTGAAGGGTTGACAACCTGACCACTTCACTAGATCGCCACACTCTGTTTAGTTATAATATTGCATATTGTGAATAATTAAATTTAATAGCATTACATATTTATAATTAATAGGCACTTTTATTTTTTTATATTTACAATGATTTTTATAATATGCATTTTGCAATTGCATTTAATACTGTATTATCTACTTGTGAAGACATATTTAGAACACTTATAAATGTTGAAAAAATACTATCCAACTTGAAAACTCAATAAATACAAGTAAGTTTAAATCAAATTTAATAAGTTTAGTCTTTTGCATTTCTGATTATTGTGTTTTTTAAATCATATAAAACCTTAATACAAAAATCAATATTTTCACATGTTATAAAGATTTTATGTTGCCTATTCATTGACTTTTTGCTAAAACATTTAAAAAAACAATTCTTTGAATACATTACAAGATAAAAATAAGATTTTATTATCAGGTAGAAAGTGTTATAAAGAACAAAAAGTAAAATAAAAAAAAAAATAAAATAAATTTTTATCATCTTATAATGATAATTAATTTATTTAACTATTATTATATAAATTAATTACATATTTATTATAGTATCAAATTTAAAAGCAACTTAAATTGCTATTTCTGTATTTAATTTATTAATTATACTGTATCAAATTTAGAATCGACTTATATTTACTCTATATTTCTTACATTTTTTGAATATTTCTATATAGTGATAATGGTATATAGATAGTTTTAGAATCAAGTAGATTTGTATTTTTATTAAAAGCATAGAAAAGATGCTATAGATGCGACTATATAACTGTTCAGTAACTTTATCCTATTTATTATACTGCTATTGTTAAAATAAAATTGACCTTTTGTAAGGCTACTTTAATAATATGATCTTTGCTAGAAAAAAAAACAGTTTACAATGACAATAAAAGGACCTATATACAATTATATTTAATAATATTAAAAAATAAAGTAATAAAATAATTGTGCTATACTTACTATTATTGATAATTTTCATTATCGAAAGAAACATAGATCTTAAGATTTTCATTAAGAAAATTATCAGGAAAATTGTTATTAAGAAAGTTTTTATCCTTAAGAAAATCTTCAGTATTTTGAGTTTCTGCTATATTAGAAAAAAAATCTGTAATAGATTTTTGCTTCAAGGATTCAATAGTTTTTCACCTCATAAGTAGTACATATTTGTGAAATAATGTTAAATCATTTTTATCAAAATTATTATTCATTTGTTGTTCAACAAATAAAATAAAATTTTTTAATCTATCTAATTCTTCTAAAACTAAAATATGTGATAGCTCCTCATTAGAATCATCAGGATCACCTTGATCATATTCTAATTTTTTTGCCAACATGATTTCAACAATTTGATAATTATTAAGTTTTTCTTTTGTAAATATATATGCATTATTTAATTTCATATAGGTTTCTATATCTTGTACAATCATCAGGTCTGTGTTATAGGTAAGATCGACTACTAATTCATTAACTTCACTTTCTTCATCTTCAATAGAGTCTGAATATGTGTTTTGAACAAATTTAGTCTTAACATTTAGCACCATTGGTAAAATAGCTGTTTTCTTCCAACAATTTACTATGATTAACTTATCTACTTCATCCTATAACACTGCTACATACTTAATAGTCTCTTTGATATTTATCTTATTTCTTAAAAAAATAAAAAATAAAAAAAAATAAAAGTAATAAAGAAAAAAGTTGTAAAAAAGAAAAATTAACAAGAAAAACCATATTTGCTTACTTGAGATCCCAAATATCTAATCCTTTTTCAACTGATCCAATATATGTTGTATATACTTTTTTTGATATTTTGCTTTAAAACATTTAATAATACCTGCAACCATGAGTTGCAGATGTGAAGTAGTAAGAGAAGGTAAAAATTTTACTTGAATACTTGTAGGAAAGTAATCAGATAAATCATGAAGTGTATATACACTTTCTTGGGCTCTATCACATTTTTCTTTACTTTGTTGTTCAATGTTACAACCTCATTGATTAACTGAAATAGTTTTATTTAATCTTAAATAACCATAACAATGACCATTATGACCATCATAACCATCATGACTATCATGATTGCTACAACTACTATGATCATAACTATTTACAAAAGACACTTCCTCATAACTGCTACTGTTATTACTAGACTTCTTGTCAGAAGAACTATGTAAATTATTTGAATTATAGTTAAAATAACTTGATGTATTATCAAGTATAAGCAAAATTTTCTGATTTTGAAGTTGAAACTAACAGTTAAGATCCTCTAACTATTCTTTAAATATGTCATTACACATTTACACTGTTTGATTAGAGCAATATATAACAGATAATGTAACATAATTAATACCAGCCAATGCTTGTGGTTCAATAGAGGCTTCAATTACAAGTGGTTTTAGCTTTTCAGTTCTAGTTGCATTGGAGGCTAAAAAAATAGTAATATAAGTACAATCCTAAATTCATTAGTAATTTTAAATAAATAATATAAATGGTCAAACTGAATTAAATATTCAGATTGCTAACATACAAAATAATGCCCCAGGGCATTATTTTGGAACACAGAATTTTCAAAAAGTTTAAATATAATTTTGCTGAAGGTTTTTAAAAAATAAAAATTATTGTTTGTATTTGTCAAAATTTATTCATAACTCTGAAAATTCTGTGTCTCAAAATAACATCTGAGGCATTATTTTAAGATGATACAGTAATTAATCTTTAACTTTTTTCTATCCTGGATGAGAATAAGATGCCAAAGTTTGATCTGATGCCATGCAAAAATACAATCCAGTTTCATTTGTGTTAAATATGTTATTTAAAGTATACTTTCAAATAATATTTTGTAAATTAAGTTGGAATTCTGGAAGATAATCAGTTGGTATGCTACCAGCCTCTTCATGTAGTCTAAATTATATAAACTATTGCATTTTTTAAATTGTCTCACCCACCTATTGGAAAATTTTAATTTATTTTCAGGCAATACAAATGCTTTGACAAAGTATGTAGCCTTTTCTTTGCTTATTGCTTTTATTAAAAATAATCTAGTATTTCTATTTGTTTAACCTACAACTTCATGACCTGATCTAGTAAAGAAAATTTTACTTTTCTATATTGATAAGTACTAAAAATAATTTGGTTTTTAACAATGGCTAAATATTTATTCTTTTCTTTTAGAATTTTAGAGATAGTTGAATATTCAAGATTTTGTTTTGAATCTTGCATATTAAAATGCTTGACAATTTGGATTTGTGTTTTATAAAGATTTTTTATATGATATTGGCAGATAGCATTTTTTAGACTAGCACTAATAGTTGTATGCATTCTTTTGACAGAAAGTTGGTTGAACATAAAGATTAATAGTATTATGTTTTTGGTAAGGTTTGGTTTTTGTTACAGACAAGAAATATGATAAGATATCTTTTATTTATATGTTAGGAGCATATATTAGAAGCATTAATATTAAAGCTTTGTAAAGTCAATTTAACTTAGGTTTTGTTTAATTTTTATCCAATAACCTGGATATAGGTAATGCCAAAAGGATTTCTTTATAAAGTTTTAATCTAAAATTTTAATAACAAGTTTGAATGATTATCTTTACTAAAAAGTCAATTTGATGTAATCTCATTTAATTTTTACCTAATTATCCACTAACCTGGATATGGGTAATGCCAAAGGAATTTTTTTATAAATTTTCAAAGTTATTTTTTTTTTATACAACTATTAATCTAAAATTTTTAATAACAAGTTCAAATGATCAAAAAGTCAATTTGTTTAATTTTTACCTGATTATCTGTTAACCTGAATATAGGTAATACCAAAGGGATTTCTTTATAAATTTTCAAAGTTTTTTTTTTTTTTATACAACTATTAATCTAATAACAAGTTCAAATGATCAAAAAGTCAATTTGTTTAATTTTTATCTAATTATCTATTAACTTAAATATAAGTAATACCAAAGAGATTACTTTATAAATTTTTAAAGTTTTTTTTTTTTATATAACTATTAATCTAAAATTTTTAGTAGCAGGTTTGAATGGCTTAGCTTGATAGGAAAAGTCAATTTGATTAAGATCTTATTTAATTTTTATTTGATAACTTGGGTATGGGTAATGCCAAAAAAATTTCTTTAAAAGATTTTTTTTATATAACTATTAATCTAAACTTTTTGTAGCAGAGTTTAAATAACTCAGCTATATATAGGGTGTTTAAATTATTTTTTAAATTAATTTTACTATTATGAATAATTAACTTCGAAAGACTAAATGCTGAAATAAATTTTATTAAAAGAAGTAATTTAGACACCCATGTATAGGCTCAACTTGGTTAAAAAAGTCAATTTGACTTGGTCTTATTTAATTTTTATCCAATAACTTGGATATAAGTAATACCAAAAGGATTTTTTTATAAATTTCAATGTTTTTTTTTTTATATAACATTAATCTAAAATTTTTAATACTAGTAGGTTTGAATGACTCTGCTTAGTTAAAAAAGTCACTGAAAAGTTATAACTGAAGCTTAAATTATAGTAGTAATAATAGTGCTTAAGTCATAACTTCCAGATTAGAATATATATTTATAGTTTTTTTAGCTAGCTTTGAGCTAATTAGGCTAAAGTTGTATCTTAGTTTTATACTATAATTTAATGCTAAGTTCTGACTTAACCTTGAAACCTGCACAGTATGGCTGAAAAAGATTTTTAAAATAGAATAAAATTATTTTATCATATCTGCACTGGTTTTTGGCTAAAGCCAGGCTTCAAACTGAACTATTAGTATTTTTATTTAATATAATTTACTAGTAAGCTTGTAAATTATTAATAAAATTTTACTATTAGATTGGCTTTTGACGAAACTACATTAGGTAATTTTTCTAGTTAGCTGCGTGATGCAGTCATTCTAGAAATTATAAATAAAAGTAAATATGATAGTTAAAAAATAGTCCAAGTAATGTACAAGCAAGAATTTAAACATCTTATTAATATATTGTGAAGCATTTTATGTACACTACCAGGCAGTTGATTTGCATTAGCTAATCAAACAAAAGTTTATAAAATATTATGTAATAAATTATCAGATTATCTGATTATCCAAAAAATTAAATTTCTTGTTTTTAACAATTAGTGATTATTATTCCATCAACCCAATAAAATATCCTACAAAAAAAAATAAAAATGCTAAATATTAGGTAAATATGCAAATTAATTTGCACTGGGTTACAATTTTTGTGTCTTTAGTTATTACAACTATGATATTGCTTATATTTGCATTTTTTTGTATTCAAATTATATTCTAATTACATATCCGAATAGAATTCATATATGAAATAAACAAAATTTAATGAATAAATCATGCAGACCAACATTTATTATATTTGTTCCTGGTATAGTAATTACACATTGTGTTCAACTTTACATTTTGATCTAAACATGCCAACTTCAATTGTTTTTATTGTTTAGATAATAACTAAAAACATGTTTATATTATATAAAAACCAATATAGCATATATAAGAAGAGAAGTAATATAGTTTATAAATATTGCATATTATCAAATTATTGCATTATATGAAACTAGCAATTAAATGATTATGGTTTTTGTAAAAATTAGCATTAAAATTTTTTTAAAGATGAAAACAAAAATAGATACTTACAATTTATTTTACTGATAGGACAATTGGATTTATGTTATTTCAATAACAATTAATTAACTGAGAAGTTTATTTTACTGATAACTATTTTACTAATAGTTTATATTACCAAGTTTTTTTAAAATTGCACTAACCTTAACTTTAATTTTAATAACTCTAATGACAATAACCAGAATTACTTTCTGGTAAATGACTGTTAGTAAAATAAACTATTGCTAAAATAAACTATTAGTAGACTAAGTTGTCAAAAATGAGTCTTGTTAGGAAGAAAGACTATCAGAATTATAGGGTTAGAGAAATAGCATTTCAGCAAAATAACTTTAGAAAATAATATATTCTGATATTAGAGAGTAAGTATTTAGAAACATTGTTAAACAGAATTTAAAAATTAATAAATACATTATTAATTAGTTATATGCAAAAGTGACATCACATTTAAGTAAAACTAATTAAGCTTATTGGAATTTTGAATTTATAGACAATCATTTTAGAGATGACTTATCTATTTCAAGACAGTTAAATTTTTAGATAAGATTATTTAGCATATATTTAATTCATGAACAAGATTATTTAACAGACAATTGAGTTATAGTCAAGTTTATTTTATCTATTATTTTACTATAGAGGGTTAGACCCAAACAAAAAAATATTATTATAGAATTACTCAAAATATATGAGTATGTAAGAGTGAAAACCTAAAAACCAATTATAGTAAATTATTAAATCAGTTTTCAGATTTTCATTCTCACACATTCATATAATAAATTACCTAGGTAATTCAAATAATTTATTAACAGTTAAGTGAAAATTTTCTTAATATGTAGCTTATTTTGTACAGCTTACTAAATCATTTTGTTGACAAGTTGTTTTTTTATAAATTGCATTAATCTTAACTTTGGTTTTAATCTTAATAATAATAACTAGTATACAAAATTCTATTGTAAAATGTCAGAGATTTTATTTAATTAGATTAACTTTCAGCATAGTTTTAAAGCAGCTGAAAATTTTATGATATAAAATATATTGCTAGAATTTCTAAATTTTATTTACTAAAAAAAAAAAACAGGTTATAATATGCCAAAATTTTGAATACTAATGATAACTATTTTGCAAAATAAGCTGTCAATAAGATCAACTGTCTATAAAATAAAACTAATTAATTATTTGTAAGCAAAATAACTATTTATGAAATAAGTAATATATACATATAAATTTTTTATATATTTAAATTAGATATTAAATATTTACTCTTAAATATTTACATAAAATATATATTATTTATTTATATGATTATATAGAGTAAATATTATATAATTATCCTCTTTTATAATCATTATTTTTTCTTATAACAAATAGCATGATTATAGAAGAAAATAACTGTATATTGATTAAATATTATATATTAATATATATCACTAATAATAAATAATAATTTTTAATATAAGAGGTGTAATGACCTAGTGAAGTGAACAGGTTGTCAACTCTCAAATGGCAAATCTAGAGTTTAAATTCCATGGACGATGAATTTTGGAAAATAGGGTAGTGTTATAATAATTGTCTCTGTCGATCAGTTGAATTAGTGTATCTATAATCTTCAATTGCATTATCACAAATGAAAGCTTAGAGTATTTATGCTACAGGTGGGTAACAAAAATATTTCCACACCTAAGGACTTGGCTTATAACTCAAAAGCTTACTAATTAAACTAGATCCTTGATTTGACTATAGTAATCCTTACTTTTTGAGAATTATTTCATATCATTTTTAGATCACATGCTTGCATAATTAGCAAGTTATTTAACTTTACTTTTAGGGTTTTAATAAATTATGTAAGTGTCTGTGTTTCTGTGAACATATTTCAATAACTATTAGTCTAATTTTAATGAAATTTTACCAACTTATAGA